GAGACTAACTTGAAATGTAAACTTCATTTTAACTACAACAATAAAAAAGTTAAAAAATATATATAAAAAAATTGGGTCATACTGAGAAAACTATCTATGCAGTGTAAAAAAATCATAAAACAATTTCTATATCAAAACATTCAATTACACACAGCACTCAGTGTGTACCACGGGTGCTCATAAAATAACTGGGTTGCGTTTTGTTCTGGGAGAAGAATAGGGTGAGTAGGCAGTTTTTCTGACCATAGGTCATCTACCCAAACCCATAAAAAGTGTGAGCTCTTTGGAGTGCCTGGGTTCCTAAGATGTTCTGGTAGGTTTCTTCTGAAAAGCCAACAACAATAGGCAAAACACTTCTTCTGAGATCATGCATATTTTTTTTCTCAAAGTTTAAAATCCTTTCAAGATTGTGTCACAGTGTGATATAATTGTGTCAACTCAGAAGACCCATATAAAGGCTTCATTCCCTCAGGCCTCCAAGTCAACTGACCATGAGGTCTCTTCAACAGCCCTCCTAAGCATCATCTGCCTTAGTGTCTAGGCACTCAGGAGCAGGTGGCAGGAGCTTCTGCAGGCTCCACATAGCAGAAAGGCCAGCGACGAGTTCCCCAAAGTCCACACATTGATACTCTACAACCAGTCAAGTGTCCACTTGCCTTTCAGGAAGCACCCTGAAAACTCTGGCTGCTTTAATCCACACTTATTGATAGATGCCAGGAGAATCGCCTGGAGCAGGACAGAGCTAGACTTTTCACTGAGACTCCTCACCCGAGGATCAGTACTCAGCATCTGGATTTAAATTCGGCTTTCTTCCACCTTCTTTCGGCTTAGTCCCCTTACTACAGTAACTTGTTTGGTTTTTTCAACAAACTAAAGGGGAATCATATTAATGACACTAGTAGAAGCCTCAGAATATGTAGACAAGATGCCCACAAACCAAATACAGGTATCTCTACTCAATTACAGTTTACTACAATTTATTCTATCACAGTGCAGAATGTCTTTTGGGAGAGTCTTACATGGAAATTTTTCATCAATCGAAAAAAAAAAGCCACACACCTAAAAGGAAAACCTTACGAGACACGGAAACCCAAGATTCTGATCTATTCTTGGCTTTGTCATTTAGGGTCTAATGATGGCCAAGCTAGTTTCTCTTCTCCTCGGGAGAAAATAAGAGGGCTGCATACCACCGTGGGATGTTATGGGCCCCACATCATTAGGTATTTTGAGCATTTCAGTAAAAGCCAGAGAAAAGCAAAATGTGATTTAATGCTTTGCACATTTGATCGCAATTCTAGGAAAGAGCTCTTCAGGGGGATAATTAAATTGACGAATCCCTCCCTGTTAGGCTGGGCGTTCATATTCCTTCCATTTGATTTCCTGTCCAAAGAGATTCCATTATTTCCCACCACCTCATAAAGAAACCCCCAAAGATGACATCACTGTAGTACTTACGTTCAAAGCATTCTTTGCAGCTTCTGCTTCTGAGCGACTGTCGAAACTGACAAAACCTACGGGCTGAGGAGATAAAAAGAAATATGAAGAAAAAACAATTGGGGGGAGGTGTCTATTTTTCTGGGTCAAGGGTGATGCCAAACTGAAGCGTTACGATAAAGAAATGACCACAGGCAACAGGTAGAAATAAGAAAGCCAGTCCAGAAAAATCATGACTCAGTGGCATAGTCAAATTTCTCACATGTATCACAGGGATTGTGAGGGTAGGTCTTCAAGGGACAGAGCTGGGGATGTAGAGTCACAAAAAAAATCTAGAAGGGGTTGGAAGGTGAGTAGCAGTGAACAAGGGGACAGAGGAAAACTTGGGTCAGAAAGGCTCTACTTTCCTAAATCAAATTCACTGTACCTCAGTTTCTTCATCTTTTAAAATGGAAAGAGAACCGAATCACCTTTTGGTACACTGTAAGTGCAAGGAATACAATGACAGTAATAAAAGCTCTGTTCTCTCACTGATGAGCAGAATTACAAAGTGAACATTTCCCTCTCAAATCCCAAGGGATGCCTTAAAAAATCCAGTGTTTAATTAGGCATGTGAAACACATTACTTTAGATAAATAGAGGTAATAATCCCTTTGGGTGCCATATTTTGCTGTCCAGAAGGGTGCTTGCAACAGAGCTTATTTGTGATGAACCAGAGAATTCCTTACTGAGAGATAAAAAGTGGGTGAGCATGCTGACTGCTCAGATTAAAGAAAAAGAAGCAACATATAGCTAAAAATCTTCAAGAAGCTTGCAGGAACTATTAGGGTCCATTCCACCCCCATGCTCTGGTCTGGACTTGCGACTCTGCCCACAGATATGAGGGGACTGAAAGACAGCATGGTTCTTCACCATCTGATACTTATATTAACTGTTAAAGTTTGCCTGTTTAACCTTATAAAAAGAAATAGAGGGAAAAAAAGGAATAAAAGTGGATTTGGATGATAATTCATTATTTCCTTTGAATATGCAAGCCAATCCCAATTTAACTATGATCTTTCCACTGGTTCAGAGCTGGGCGCACTGTGGTTCACTTCCCTGGGGGCAGTCCCAAACACTCTAGCTGGAGACAGTGATTTATGAATCATTTTCCTGTGCTAATTCCTAACTGATCTCACCTTTTAGTTTTAAAGCAACAGCAACAATTAAATCCTAACGGGAATGAAAAAGAATATTGGGTCCTAGTAACATTGCTGAAGAAAGATGATTCAAACTTAATATAGAAGCGATAATTTATACACAAGTCTGAAGTCTGAGATTCTTACCTGCTTAGACGTGAGCTTTATAAGAGAACCCTCGTAGCCCTGAAAATAAAGAAGAAGCAAGTTTAGCCAACAAGGACTACGGGGAAAAATAACTCTAACAACATCTCGCTCAAGTGAAAGTGAGTCCCTCTACGAATATCTATTTAATTCTCCTCACAAATCATCTTAGGTTAACTGGAAAGCAAATGTTTATATATTCAGAACCTAAAAAATAAAGCCCTGAAATTCATAGATTTATGTTTCTCATCTTTATATTTTTTTATGAAGCCATGCAATAGTAGAAAAACAATGACTTTCTCCAGCAGGTAAGAACAGTGATTTTGTAGAAGCAGGACAATGAGTGGAATCGATTTAACAAGGATGGGAAGGTCAGAGCATGTGATGACTTCATCATACATTTGCTATAAAATAACAGCAATGAAACATTAAGAACATACTAAAATACCAAACCCGTCGCCATCAGGTCGATTCTGACTCACAGAAACCCTACAGGACAGAGTAGAACCGCCCCATAGGGCTTCCAAAGTTGTAATCCTTACAGAAGCAGACTGCCACATCTTTCTCCCACGGAGAGGCTGGTGGGTTTGAACTACTGACCTTTGTTAGCAGCTGAGCACTTACCCACTGCACCACCAGGGTTCCTAAGAACATGTTAGGTAGAATCTTTTTAGCAACATTTCAAAATTGCCAGAGAGGCAAGACAGGAAGTGATATGGAATTTTGTGAATTCTTTTGCTTACTTATTGAAGCTGCCAGTTTTCATGTTGGTATTCTGATTGGGACATGCAAAAAATCCCCTGCTGACTTTCTATTCCTTCCTTGTACCCACCCTAGCTCCTCAGGATAAGGATGTCAACTCTATTTAATTCTAAAAGTAATCAATGGCTGGTGGCTTGCACTGATGGATGACACAAGGGGGGAAAAACACCACTTGACGTGACTGACCACCGCACGAATCACTGTGGAGACGGATTTGCAGACCAGCGTCAGCCTCCAGGGACTTTAATTAAAAGAGGGTTGTTAGGAATGTCTCAGGGTCCTGACTTCAGCACTGGGGTTTGTGAGCAGGATGTTGGGATTGATTCATCTTCACATCTTCCCAGCAGAGAACTACATAACCAATTAGATACTGTAAACATTTTATCTCAAAGGCCTTGAGCTCTTTGGGCCAGAGAGGTGATGATTCACAGCCCTGCCTCTTCCTTTTTTCAAGGTGCTCTTTTCCAAAAAACCTGGAGGTTTAAACACCTTGAGGGCCTCAAAGGCAAAGGACAAATGGATATTTCACTCAAATGAAACACCACAGACTCAGAATGGCTGGGATATATTGCTTCTCAAGCCCCAAATAGAGAAGCAGTGCAGCTTAATATTAATAGTTCAGAGCAGGGACAAGACAGTCAGATGGCTAGGATCTGAATTCTGGCTCTGCCATTTATTATACATTGTAAACTTGAGCAAAACTTATTTCTTCGATCGCTCCAAGTTTGATTTTCCTCATCTGAAAAAAAAATGGGGCTAACCTACTTTAAAGGATTGTGGTGAGAATTAAATGAGATAATTCATATAAGGGGGCTTGTTTGCTGAATCTCTTTCTCTTTATAAATACAAAAACATAGCAGTAACTTTCCTATTAGGAAGATCAATTAGCTTAAAAAGTCATCATCCTGCAAAAAGGATAAGACAGTAAAAACTGCTCCCTGGTAGAAGAAACACAGGAAATCCTATAAAGTTGGCATTCTTTACATAACATTTCTTCCTTTTCCACTTCCTCTCAGCTAAGCTGATGTCCAACCTCTTTGTTGTCCTCTGTGCTGGCATCAGCACTCATTACTGTTACATTCGGGGGACGATGTCAGAGCAGAGTTATGTCCCATATAAAAGGATGCCTTCTATCTTTGTCGGTTGTAACTGGCTTTCTCCACCCAGGTGTTTTCAGTTGTCATATCCTACTTCCTTTCCCTAAGAAACCAGATCCTGTCCCTCCACCTGTCCCGCCTCTGGCTAGGGTCCAACTTCAACCAGGCTTGCTCCTTCACCAGAAATCAAGATGGCCCGTCACCTAGTCATAAGTGTGGCCCCTGCCAGGCAGTGCTGCAGACAGGGCCACACTGACCAGCTCAGCCGTCCTAGACACAAGGCCCTGAGTTCATGCCTTCCAGGTCCACATTCTGCCCATTCCCAGCTTACTCCTTTTCTCCAAAGGCTAACCTTCAAGGCTGCTCCTTGGAGGCAGAGTTGTTTCAGCGTATGCCAGTTTCCTGTTAAATTTTCAATCTTATCAACATGAAGTAACTCAAAAGTTATTTTATTTCCATAGTTACCACGGACAAGCAGCTACGTTCAGCATTTCACTAAGCACCAGGAAAAAGTCCCTTCAACTCAAACCAAGACATTCTCTATAACTGTGTTTCTACTTTGTTTGAAACTTAAGGACACTTTTTCCCATGGTAAAAATAATGGTGGCTAGTGCAGTTCATAAAAGTCTATTTAACCTATTATGTCTCCAGAGAATAGTACTGACAGCACTATTTCAACAAATAAGGAAACCTCCTAGGTATAGGGCTTGACCTGTGTTATTGCAACTGCTTTATGAATACATTATAAGTAGTTTATAACGTTGTGGGTGATCTCCACTCAGAAGAACATCCCCAACTGCGGTAAGATAAACCAGGAGGATGCTGAGGCTATTCTAAGTGGAATACAGACAGTGGGGCCCAGTTACACATCCATATTAGTAAAAGAAGAGACCTCTCTAGTCACTGGAGAACAAGAAGCAGTTTAACTGTCCGGTAGGTGAGACTTACATTAGAACTCACTTGTTACATTTCCCCTACTCACTCATCTTTTACAAACATCACTTTACAGGGTGTTTTCTCAAACCTTTCATTTCTGCCTCCCAAAAAACCTCACAAAGCACACGGCACACTGACTTTTTGTTTCCTTTTACAATTTCTGAAAAATGGATAAAGGTACCTTAAATGGTCTGAAAAGCAGGTAGAGCTCCCGAGGCTTGATATCCAGAGGGAGACCACTGACAAAGAGGGTCCGGACCTGAGAAAAGAAAATTGAGAAGCGGTCAAGAGAGCGCACAACCCAAAGAATGACTCTCATCTGCGATCTCAAGAAACACATTTCTCCAAATATTCCACAGCTCCTACACCCAGCTGAAGTGGTTTCCATGACAACAAACATTCTAATGTTAAGATGCCATTAAGCCAAGTCTTGAGTACTTCTATGTGGATTATTCAGACTGAATGACCACTAGCTAATTTAAATTTCCACCACCAGTCTGTGAGTTTGTTGTACTGTGATGGCTTGTGTATTGCTAGGATGCTGGAGCCTATGCCACTAATAGCAGCAGGGTCACCTGTAGCGGACAGGTTTCAGCAAAGCTTCTAGACAAAGACAGACTAGGAAGAAAGGTCTGGTGATCTACTTAGAAAAATTAGTCAATGAGAACTCTATGAATCACGACGGAATTACTGTTTGATACAGTGCCAGATGACAAGCCTCCTAGGTTACAGGGCATTACACAATAGCCACAACAACGTTGTAGGTGCCATTAAGTCAGTTCCGACTCATAGCGACCCTATATACAAGTGAACGAAACACTGCCCGGTCCTGCGCCATCCTCACAATCGTTGTTACGCTTAAGCCCATTGTTGCAGCCACCGTGTCAATCCACCTCATTGAGAGTCTTCCTCTTTTTCACAGAACCTCCACCTTACCAAGCATGGTGTCCTTCTCCAGGGACTGATCCCTCCTGACAACATGTCCAAAGTATGTGAGACGTCGCCTCTCCATCCTTGCTTCTAAGGAGCATTCTGGTTGTACTTCTTCCAAGACAGATTTGTTTGTTCTTTTGGCAGTCCATAGTATACTCAATATTTTTCTCCAACATCACAATTCAAAGGCATCAATTCTTCTTCGGCCTTTTTTATTCATTGTACGCCTTTCACATGCACCGCAACAACAGACTCACACATGACAATGATCAAGAAGATGGCACGGGGCTGAGCAACATTTTGTTCTGTTATATAAGGTCACCTGGACAGCAACTAACAACAACAATTTAAATTTACATGCTGACTTCCTTCTCCCAACAGCCAATGTCTGGTTCTGAAAATGTGTGGGGGTTCCATACAATTTAAATATTAGCGCCAGAAGAAATGCAATTCTGGCAGTACATCTGCCACTCCTCTGCCTTAATCATACGACCATATAACATGCTTCAAAAATAAAATTGAAACAAATTTTGCTTTCTCCTGCTTATAACGGTTTCCCTCGTTGGCATGAATAATTACAGTAGTTTTAATAAATGTACAAATACAGTTAACAATCCAAACAAATCTAAATAGTAGCTAAAATGCCAAACTCTGCATCTGGTCAATCTAAAACAGCAGGGGACCTCACTGACTGGTGCTCCCATTGGGTTCTTCCATAGCACAACCAAAATGTATGCCTACTACATGCAAAGCACCTGCTCAAAAAAAAAAAAACACCTAACCCATTGCTGTCAAGGTGATTCCAACTCACAGCGACCCTACGGGACACAGCAGAACTGTCCAATAGGGTTTCCAAAGAGCAGCTGGTAGATTCGAACTGCCAGCCTTTTGGTTAGCAGCCGAGCTCTTAACCACCGCACCACCAGGGCTCCAAGGCGCCTGCTAGGTGCCACTAATAAGTCATACAAGACACATATGTAAATATTTATAATTCGAGAAATGGTGAGAACTATGTGCTCAATGTGTACTAAAATACAGAAGGCAGAGGGCACACTTCTGGCTGCAGGAAGGGGGGTGTCATGCTAGCATCTGAATGGGAACTCAAAGGACGGGTAGCATTTCACCAGATAAAGATAGGGGAGCATTTTACCAGATAAAGATAAAGGTGAGATGAGTGGGTGATAACCACAGGCAGAGAAAAGCATTAGCTGAGGCAGCAAAGTGGGACAGCATCGTGCATTGTGAAGGCAGGGCGTGCAGACAACTAGCTAGAGTGTGCATTTCCTGCAGAGAAGCAGGGGAGAGGGGAAGGGTGAGCCAAAAGTGATCAGGTAACTTAGGGTCAAACCACAGAGGACATAAAAAGTCACTGGCTAGGAAATGAGTCTTGATTCAACAGGCAAGGAATTACTATTGAATTCCACATTTTCTATTCCTCTTCTTCACTCATGCTGGTACAACATGATTGAGTTCCTCTTCAGAAATCATGTTGCTACTTAAAGGAAATTTTAATGGTCAATGGTTAACCACGTGTAAAATATGGGAAGATTTTTTCCTCAGTGAGAAATAGCAAGAATGTTTTCTACCTCCCCAACAACTGTCACTGGTTGTAGTTGTACAGAAGCACAAATCAGCAAGTAAGACCCTTTAAGAACAGTACGCAGTAAAATGCCATGCCATATGTATGTAAATGTTTAATAAACACTATGTGGCGCGACTACTAACCAAGAAGTTAGCGGTTCAAAACCACCAGTGGATCCGGGAGAAGAAAGACCTGGCCATCTGCTCGTGTAAAGACTACAGCCTAGGAAACCCTACGGGGCAGTTCTACTCTGTCATATAGTGTTGCTATGAGTCGAAATTGACCCCATGGCCCGCAACAACATTAAATGATGATGTAACTGTAACAACAGCTGCCCTTAAATTGATTCCAACTCATGGTGACCCCATGTGCGCAGAGTAGAACCTCACTCCATGGGGTTTTCAAGGTTGTGACTTTTCAGAAGCAGACTGCCAGGCCATTTTTCCTGAAGCACCTCTGGGTAGGTTCAAATCACCAACCTTTTGGTTAGTAGTTGAGTGCTCATCCAATTGTGCCACCTAGGGACTCCATAATGATGTAAACAGCCCCAGAATTCTGAATGCTTGAATGCCAAGATAGTGAACATATCCATCACCTCCAAAAGTTTCTTCATTCCCCTTTAATCACTTCTCCCACCTCATCTCACTATCCCCCATCTCCAAGCAACCAATGATATACTTTCTGTCATTACAGACAAATCTGCATGTTCTAAAGTTTTATATAAATGGAATCATAGACTATGTACCCTTTTAGGTCTGGCTTCTTTCACTTAGCGTAATTATTTTGAGATTCATCCATGTTAATGCATGTATCAGTAGTACATTCATTTTGATTACTGAGCAGTACTCTGTTGTATGGATACACCACAGTTGGTTTATCTATTCATCTGTCGAAGGACATTGAGTTGTTTCTGGTGTTTGGCTTTTAGAAATAAAACTTCTATGAATATTTATATCAACATGAATATTCAAGTATTCGTACAGACATCTATTTTCTTTTTTACTGGATAAATACCTAAGAGTGGAGTGGCTGAATCATATAATATATATACTATTTAAGAAACCGACAAACCGTCTTTTAAAGTGGCTGTACCAATTTACATTCTCATCAGGAGTATATAAGAGGAGTTCCAGTTCCTCTACATCCTTGCCAATATTTAGTATCGTCAGTCTTTTAAGTTTCAGTCATTCTAATAGGTGTGTAGTGGTATCTCATTGTGGTTTTAATTTTCATTTCCCAAGTGACTAATGATGATAAGCATCTTTTTAAATGCTTCACAAATATTTTTATAATATGGTGAATTTCATTAATTTTGAAATATTAAACCAACCTTGCATTCCTGGGACAAACCCCAGATGGTGAGGATATATTGTCTTTTTATACGTTGTTAGACTCAATTTGCTAAAACTTTGTTTAGAATTTTTGCATCTATCTTCATACGGGATATTGGTCCATTGTTTCCTTTTCTTGTAATGCCTTTGTTTTTGATATCAGAGTAATGCTGGCCTTGTAGAATGAGTTGGGTAGTATTCCCTCTTCTTCAATTTTCTGGAAGAGCTTGTGTATAATTGGTATTACTTCTTTAAATGTTTGTAGTAGTTGCTAGTGAATTCACGTGGGCATGGAGTTTTCTTTGTGGGAAAGATTTTAACTACAACTCAATTTCTTTTAATAGATACGGAGCTATTTAGGTTATCTATTTCCTATTGAATGATCTTTGGTAGTTTGTGTTTTCCAAGGAATTTGTCCACTTCACCTAAGTTCTCAAATTTATTGGCATAAAGTTGTTCATAATATTCCCTTATTATCTTTTTAGTATCTTTAGAATCTGTAGTAATGTTACTTCTCTCTCTACCGATATGGGCACTTTGTATCTTTTTTTTTTAATCTGATCATCCTGGCTAGAGTTTTATCAATTTTGTTCATCTTTTCAAAGAATCAGCTTTTGGTTTCACCAATTTTCTGTTTTCTAAGCTCATTGATTCCCGCTCAGATCTTTTTTTTTTTTTAATTTTCTTTCTTCTGCTTTCTTTGAGTTTAATTTGCTCTTCTTTTTCTGGTTGTCCAGGAAGACACTGATATCACTGAGATTTTTCTTTTTTCTTTCTTATATAGTTCTATACATTTACCATCAACTACCCACAAGTTCCCACAAGTTTTAGTATGTTGTTGTTTCATTTTCATTCAGTTCAATATGATTTCTAATTTTCCTTTTGATTTTTACCTCGACCCATGGGTTATTTAGAAATGCTTTATTTAGTTTCCAAGTATTTGAGGATTTCCCAGCTATCTCTGTGTAACTGACTTCTAATTTAATTTAATTGCAGCTTGAGAACACATTTTGTATGACTCGAATCCTTTTAAAGTTATTGAGACTTGTTTTATGGCCCAGAACATGGTAAGTGTGTGTGCACTTAAAACAAACGTATATTCTGCTGTTGTTGGGTGGAATGTTCATAAATGTCAACTAGGTTATGTTTGTTGTTCAAGTTTTCCATATCTTTACTGATTTTATTCCTATAACTTCTATCAATTATTTAAAGAGGGGTATTGAAATCTCTAACTATAATTGTAGATTTGTTGATTTTTCCTTGTAGGTCTATCAATTTTTGCTCCATATATTTGGAAACTCTGCTACTAGGTTCATAAACATTTGCACTGCTATGTCCTCTGAATGCCTTATTTAGTAATCTCTTTTTATTAGAAGAGCTCCCAACCCCTCTTTCTGGGGCCAATGTTACCCC